GATAAGAGGTTTATTTGGCTCACAATTCTTTAGGCTGTATAAGAAGCATGGTGCCAGCATCTGCTTCTGGTGAGGGCCTCAGGGAGCTTCCAATCAAGGTGGTGGGAGGAGAGGGGTACAGGCATGTCACATGGCGAGAGAGAGCAGGAGAGACGGCAGGCGGTCCCACATTCTTTTAAATAACCAGCTCTTGCATGAACTAATAAAGTGGAAACTCACTCCTCACTACACACAACCCAAGGCCTCCCTGAGGGATCCACCCCAACGAGCCAAATACCTCCCACCTCCAACACTGGGGATCAGATTTCAACATGAGCTCTGGAGGGGACAGATAACCAAACTCTATCAGGCCTGCTTGTGAAGGGCCTTGAAAGCCAGGCAGGGCGTTTGAATGTTATTTGCTTGCCTTTCATTATTGCCTGAGAAGGAATGTAAATTGGGCAGCCATTTTAAAAGGTATTCTGATAGCTATGGGCAGGCCTGGAGCCAGGGTGCAGGGTGCAAATGCTGTAACAATGCTGCTCATTTGAAGTTACTTGGGCTTCAAGAAGGAAGGTGGGAAGAAGAAATGACTCCAAAGGAAAATTAGAACAGCTGGGACTGATTGGATATGGGGGTTCTGAAAACAGGAGCTTTAAAAATAACTGGGGTTTCAAGACCTGGGCAAATGGGGGAAGACTGAACAGAGCAGGAGAAGCTGGAGGTGGGGAAGGGCTGTGAATGATGACTTCAGTTTTGCTCGGATTAAAATTTGACCTGAGGACGAGACACTATGTTTAAATGGTCGAGTAGGGAACAGAAAATGGGCTAAAACCTCAAGAAACAGGGGAGATGTAAATGCAGGATTAAGTTAAGCAAATCTATAACCAAATCTATAAAGTGATGCTTTTTATTCCTTAATCTTAAGGGGAAACCTTCAGTGTAGGGCAGTGGTCCTCCACTGGGGGTGATTCTGCCCCTCAGAGGACACTTGGCAAAGTCTGGAAGCATTTTGGGTTGTCACAGCTATCGGGGGCATGCTACTGGCATCCAATGTGTAGAGACCAGGACACCGCTAAACACCCTACAATGCACAGGATGCGTCCCCAAAACGAAGAATTATCTGGCCTAAAATATCCATAGTGCCAAGGTTGAAAAGACCTGATTTAGGGAAAGAAAGACACAGTTGAGTCTTTGAGAAAAATAAAATCAGAAAAGGAATAGTCAGAGAGAATGAACCTTAATTAAAAGAACTGGGTTATGGAAGTGAACAGAGGGGAGAATTCCAAAAAGGCAGGGTGGCCCACATGCACCAGTGCTGCTGGTGCCTTGTCCTCAAGCGCTGCTGGCCTTTGAGAGAGCAGTGGTGTCACCTGTTGCTGGAGGAAGAAGTGAGAGCGCAGGAGGACTGGGGCAGGTCGGCAACTCGAGGTGAGGTGGCAAGAATGTAGACGACTCAACTGAGAGACTCGGCATGGAAAGAAGGCAAGATGCTCAAGCTGTGGAGTCGAGGAAATTTGCTTGTTTGAGTCTGAAGGAGATGCTACCTCTGTTACCTCTGTCTGGTAACAGAGAAGAGACCAAAAATGCCCTGAGCTTATCAAGTAAGCAAACAAACAAGCGGTAGACCCAGCTCCAGAACGGGAGGAACCCCTAGAGTGAAGAATCCGACAATGGGCTTGAACGTGCACATCCTACCAATCAAGTCGATTTGAGGAAAAATCCCCCAAATACTTGTCAATAAGCTTATTAAAATTATAAGCTTGAAAGTAACCTCTAATTATAAAGAAATATTTGTTGGTACTACTGCAATTAAAAAATAAAACAAAACAAAAAAACCTCTGCTTGCAACCTTATCCAGTAAGTTATTCTTATTAAAAATGTTCCTAAGAGAAAAAAGTAGCATCAGAGAAACTATCATTAAACTCGAAAAGAAGCAAAAGTGTTAGGTTTGGCTACAAAGTTAGAAATAAAAAAATTATCTAAAGATAGGCTGAATTATCTTGATTTAAAGGATTTGTCATAGGTACTACATTTCTTAAAATTCTAATAGAAATCAAAACACTACACACTAAAATATTTTATAAGCAAAACAAAAATTGTGTGTTCAAAGCTTGAACTTTGGAGACAAAGAGACCTGGGTCTGAAAGCTGCCTCTGTCTTTTGCTTCCTGTATGACTGTGGGCAAGTTATGTAAACTTCCTAAGCCTCGGCTTCCTGATCGGTAAAATGGAGATATTTATAATGAAGCCATGCAACATGGTACCTACATCTAAGTGTTCATTAAATGTTATATCTAATGTCATCTTGTTACATTAACTCTCTGCTTTCCATAAATAGATTATGAAAAGCTATACACAGTGACTTAAAAGATTGAGAATTGTGTCAAATATTTTGGAACATTTTCAGAAACCTGACTTTCAACGTTAGTATAGAAAACATCAGTCTCAGCACTAGAAAGGTACATATCTTATGCTCTTGAAAAGTAATATTGAAATTGCTTAATATATCTAATAAAATTGATGCTAAATATCTTTTAACTATTTCCAAAAACTGAATTGAATTCCACCCTTAAGAGACGAAGTTTTGCCACCAGTACACAGCTATAGTAGCTCTAAGTCACAAGAGATTTTAGAAATGACCTAGGTCAGTATTGTCTAATGCAGTAGTCACCAACCACATGAGCCTATTTAAATTATTTAAATCAAATAAAATTAATAATTCTGTTCTTCAGTCTCACTAGCCACCATTCTAGTGCTCAAAAGCTACATGTGGCTGATGGCCACCATATTGAACCACACAGATGTAGAATATTTTCGTCCTCACAGAGAGTCCTGCATTAGTCTAGAGAATGGGTCTCAATTACAGAGAAGAAAGAGGAATGTATGTGTGAAACTGAAGCCCATGACTTCCTCCCACATGACTATGTCTTAGAGATTCATGTGGATTTTAGTTCTGACGTTGATCACAGGGGCTCCAGAGGTGAGGCTCAGAAATGACAGGCAGGATGTGCAGGCAGGACTTCTAGCTCATTCTGATGAAAAGATTGGGAAAAGCTACCAGAATGGGTGGCTGACAACCAATATCTGTTGTCAAGGCTGGATGCCCCAGACCATACTGACGCTGGGCTTGTGCGCTAATGTTATTGATCCACCCTGCCCAGATCCCAAGAATAGGACACCACCCCTGTTCAGGGAGTGGGGACATGTGTGTGCATTATCCGTGGAAAAACTGTCTTCCATGAAACCGGTGCCAAAAAGGTTGGGGACCAATGTCTTATGGCATATTACAACCAAGCCTTTGTATACCTTCCTCAGGCACTTTTATGATATGAAGCCAGAAGCAGTATTTTCCAGAAGACAATCCCCCACTTTGCAAAAGCTCAGACTTATTAACAGGGAGGAGACTAAGGGGAGGGGACCCAAGCACGTTTTGGAGCAAGGAAGCAGAGGTCCACGAGGTTTGGAGCTCCCCAAGAGCTGTGGAAGGGGGTGGCATCCCCAAGGGGGACACTGAGAATGAGGTACTGACACTCTGCCCTGGACAAGGGTGACTGCTTCCCGAGTGGCTCAAAGGGGATAATTCACGGAATTATCAACTTTCCAAAGTAACTGAGTTGTATGAGCTGTGGTTCCAAAGTAAAAACGTCAGAATGATTAAGAAGTAGGAATGATTAAACCTGTGTCCCTGCTGCACATACATATTATAATTTTTGTTTGACATTGAGGTTGCTTTTAAGTTCTGGAGATTCACTAAGACTGGCAGAGAAACTTTAGATGCCTTGGAAATTGGGAAGTTATATAATAGGCAACATACCTATTCACCTATGTGAGTGAGACAGTAAATAATTTAGAAATCATTTCATATAGAATCAATATGATTCATATTTTATTAACCAAGAAGCCAAAGTGATGACAACAAAATTAACTAAAGGGGAAAACAACCCACCTCGCAGCCTGTTATTATTATGCTTTATCCAACAGGCTGTAAAGGGGTTTCTGATCATTTCTCAAGGACAGAAGCCACAGAATATTTCGCTGTGAATAACATGTGCCTTGGGCAAGTAACCAAACCCCCTCTACACCTCAGTTTTCTCATCTGCAAAATGGAGGAAATAGTGGATTCCTAGGTTTTTACAAGTATTAAATAAAATTATCAATTAAAAATTCTTATAGGGCATAATATGAACGATAATAGCTAAAATTAAGTTGTGGGTGCTCCCTTAACCATGCACTTTATAAGTGTTAGGGCATTTAGAGTGGATTGTAACTATACTATAGGAAGATGCTCATACTGTACAGCCTTCATAGTGCTGATGAAGAAACTGAGGCCCGTGGTCCCACAGCTACTAAGTGGCAAAGCTCAATTGCCACATCATACACATAAGAGACCACATGTGGTAGCTGTCATGATCAAATACACGCACACTATGTTAGGTTTCAATAGCATGGTTACTAAAGAAGGCTTTCATTTCAAGATTTTTTGTCGAAAGAGTTCTAACCAAGGTGATTGCGATAAAATTTGACAGTGATACAAGATACTTAAAAATTAAGTCAACAGGACTGCAAATTTAACATCCCCAAACATAACTGTGACTGGAACTTCCTCAGGCCAGATGGAAAGAGCCCAAAGAGTAGGCAAAGGGTTGGCATATAGTTGATCAGCACAGGAAAAGGCAAGCTGAGAAAGAACATATTGTCTGATTCAACTGCAGAGTAATTGTGTCAGCTATAATTTCACTGAGTCTGAACTTTTTATCTGTCAGATGAGAAAATTTTATTAGATCAGTGACTCTCAACCCTGCCACATCTTGGAATCATCCAAGGAGCTTTGAAAAAGATACCTAGGCCTGGGCGCCCCGGAAGATTCAGCTCTGCCTGGCCTGGGGTGGGAATTTTTGAAAGCTTGGAGGGATTCTAATGCACAACCAAGTTTGAGAACCCCTGGTTTAGGCCTATTCAGATGTCAAATCACCCAGCTCCCTACGCATCTAGGAGGTCATAGAGACAAAACAGACATACCTGAAGCAGAATCTTGTTGCCATCGTAGTCCTGAGTCTGCCACCGGGTGCTGCTGATGGGAACGCAGGGATTGGGTAGGAGAGGCACTAACTGGCCGATCTCCTGAACCTTGAACTGCAGCACCGAAGACTCTTTCGGGTCCACCGACATTCCCAGGGGCAGCTGCTTCAGGGCGAGCTGCAGGACAAAGCTCTCAGTGGCGTAGAGCACAAAGAAACAAAAATTGCTCTTTTGCAAGGTGGCTTCTCTCTGCAGAATCATCTCGTAGAGCCTGATGGCATCCTCATAGTTATCAAAACTGCAGTAGAGCGTCACCCTGAGGATCTCTGCGCCCCGGTGCACCTGCCTCACGCCCCAGACGGGCATCTGGCTGTCCAGGCTGTAGAACTCCTGATTGGCAAGGAGGTAGGGACACAGCCTGCCCTGTGCATCCCGGGTGGGGTAGCACTGCCACGGCGGGCGCCGGAGGGAGTCCAGGGCACGAAATAGGCGCTCCTCTCCGAGGCTTTCGTGCAGGAAGAGCAGGACAGACATCCCCGGGAAGCGGGATCGCCTGGGGTGGGCCTTTTCATAGGACTTCACTGGACTGACCCGCTCAGACACCAGAAAGAGACGGACCTCTGGGCAGATGCAAGCCAGGAGCTGGTCCAGAGTCTGCTGCAGAAGAGAGCCGTGCCCCGAGTTGGCAAGCAGATGGACAGTCATGGCCAGAGGCCCCTGTGTCTCATCCATGGTGGAATGCGACAAAGAAAGCGAGCGTGGAGGTCCCAATGTTCAGGCTTCTGAGATAAATGAAGGAGTGGCCAAGCCTTCAGCACGCCGGAAAACCCTGAGCTGCAGCAGCTACCGAGAGCCGGGTTCCTTACGGGACTAACGCGAGCTCCTGGCCACCTGGGCACTTGCAGGGACAGCAGCTCAGTCCAGCCCAGGCTCAGCAGCCTCTGCTACACACAGCAGCGGTGCGGTCGCGTCCTGCAGCTCGTGCACAAAGTTAACTGTTGTGTTTGGCTTTTTCAGGCGTTTCCCAGGGTTTGTGTTTGACCTAAAAACCTACAATCCTGAGAAACACCCAAGTGGGTGGTTCTAACAGACACTCAGTATAAAGGAAATGACCGGGCGAAAGGGAACATGAGTCGGCTCTGTTAGGCTGATAGCAATCTGTTTGGGTGAAAAGACATCCATTTTACTGACCCACAATGGGTTCTGATTTCCTACTTAGTGTTTACAGTAGCCTGCCAGGCCACCTGAACACAATGACTCCTTTAAAGCAATTCTCAAAACTTGTCCGCTTGCCAGGTTTCTTTTACCCTTTGTCTTTTTATTTCATTTTGTTTGTGAACATTTTACGCTAGGGCATGAAGAGAATCTATTTTATCTAAATAATTTTGACTTCACTGAAAATTATGTGCTCTACTGAAAAGTCTGAGTGTGCTAAAAAGACATTGAGAAACCAAGTCTTCCTTGATTTGTGCAAATTCTCTAGAAAAAGTGAGAGCTTTCTAATAATAATGGTTCATATAATTATAGTTAGCAATTATAATAATAATTTTTTATATTTATTGAGGATCTACTATGTACCAGCCATAAACTGTTCTAACATTTAATATAAATTAATTTAATCCTGCAGCCAACTTATGAAGAAGAGACTACTATCCCCAAATTGCTGATTAAAAAACTAGGGCACAGAAAAGCTAAATAATTTGCTCAAAGTCTCACAGCTAAGAAGTGGCTGAAGGAAGATTTGAACCTAGGAAATTGCTGCACTGCTTCTCTGGGGTCCGAAGTTCCAGCCCAGATTTTCTTCCTATGAGTAAGGAAGAGATGGCAAAGCAAGTTCTAGTTGAGGACACATTTTAGCCAGACTCTCGCGCTGCTGAGTCTTAAGTGGAATAATCTTCAATAAGAATGTCATCACGCTGTAAACATAACACTCACCCTAATGTGTCCTCAACATCAATTTAAAAGTCATTTGCTATTCTGATAGCTGTGCTGCCAAATAGGTGTAGACAAGCACATTTTTCTAAACATAATTCTTCTTAAAAGAAGCAATTTACTAATGCTTATAATGGGACATGGTGTGACTTAATTTCTTGTAAATTAAAAAACTCTTTTGTGATGAAAAATATAACTTACCCTAACTTTTATTTTATATATGTGGATTCCTTTAAGAGCATAATAACCATAAATATGTTTATTCATCCCAAACATTGAGAGCCAGGCACACTGCCAGGAACAGAGGATGGATAATCAGCATGTCCCCACCCTAAATGATATGGTCAGTGCCAGGAGGAAGGTCACTGTAGGATGCCACGGGGACCCCCAGGAGGAAAGTCAAATATTATCATCCAAGGAAAGGAATTATTTCGGTTCAGATTTACTTTCTAAATCTAACCTACATTTCTCATCATTTGGGTTTCATAATTCCAACACTTTCTGCATTGGAAAAACATATAAATACGGATTTATAACAGATGAATTATTTTTTTAATTACCATGAGCAGCTCAGCAATTAAATTCATTTTGCTTTAACTTTCCAAAAATTCATTAGCTTTTTTTTTAAAGGCATCACAGCTCTCAAGCATTTTTTTTTAACGTTTACCTTAATTCATGTCACATCACGCGTTGGCATTGGATGGCAATAACCTTCTCATTCCTCCAAATGAGCGCACGCTCCTTTCCCATCCTTCCCCTTTACGGCTCACTATACTTTTGCTCTGGGCAGAGAACTCTGGTTTTGGAAACAGACTGTGAAATTCTGGAAATAACTGTAAAGATTCAAGGAGAAAAATTATACCCCCGAGACAAAGGTATTAACTCACAACATTTTGTACAAGGGAAATGTTTAAGCTCTTTTCTAGGAAAAGGTTTTGCTTTGTGATTTGTTTTAATCTTCCACCTAATGCTGAAAACATATTCTTTTCCTCTCCAGGTTGTCATTTCTGACAGGATGGAAAAGATTGCTTTAATCTGTTGGCAGCCAAAATGACAAGAAATGGGGGCAGAGGCCAAGAGGCGGGAACCCCCATCTTCTGACTGATGTCTCACAATGACTTCCCCAGGCACGACGTCGTGAGATCCCCACACCCCAATAACTGCCCGCACTCCGTCACCTGCTTCCACCCACCGCAAATGCCAGAGTCTCAGCGATGCTCCACAACACTCTGCATTTTTGCATGATGTTTCTGTTGAAGGCACAGACAAAAACACGAAGGGAAATCATTAGCTTTGACTCTCAGCACCTATAGACAGCTGATGCTCCATTCTCTACCTTGTTTTTCTTAAACTTGGCAATGATGCCCAGGTTTCTGACAGCCACCAGCTCCCGGGGACATCCAAGTGGTTCATGCCTCATGGCAAAGTGGGGTACTGGTGACAGGTAGTACAAGGAAACCTGGGAAACAGCTAGTAATGAGGATCTGTTAGAACCTGTGGAAGTCCTCAGGGATTTGTCGCTTCTGCTACTCTCATAAGCCCTGTGGGATACATTAAAACCCCAGGATTCCCACCACTGCCCCAGGAAAGTTTTGAGAAAGAGTTTCTTTCCATCTTTAATTTATACAATATGTTTATTTATCTCACACAGTGAGAGCCAGGCACAGTGCCAGGAACTGAGGTCACCACCTTAAAAGATGCCATCAGGACCGTGAGGAAGGGTGCTATAGGATGCCATGGGGACCCCCAGGAGGAGCCACTAACCTGGTTGAGAGGGGCATGGAAGCCTGGAGGAAGAGATGGTACTCGAAGTCCTGAAAAGTGAGGGGGAATGAGCCAGGCAGGTGAGGAGATGGGGTGGGGACTCCAGGGACAGGGGAGAGGCTGCACCCAGAGAAGAGCCTCAGGCCCATGTCCCCCTGGCCATCTGTAGCAGTTCAGGCTGGCTGGAGGGTGGGGACGACAAAGCGGAGGCTGGAAGGCAGCCAGGGCCTGACCAGGAAGGGCCTTGCACGCCTGCGGGAAAGGGTTGGGTTCCACTGTAATGTGAAGAGCACCCGGCACATAGAAGGATATACTGCTTCGAGGAAACCAGGAGCCCGTGTGGCACATGCAAGGTCCCCGGACAGTCTCGTCAGCTGGTAGGATGTGGGCAGAAAGCCACAGTGGCCAGTCCTGGAAGGCCTCCCAGCGTGGCACTCACAGGTGTTTGGGTGAGGCCATCAGTCACCAAATAGGGAATCCTGGAGAGGGGGCGTCTGGAGTGAAGAGGAGGCGTGCAGGGTGGCCGTGTGCGTGCAGATGCCGTGGGGCGCGGCCATTTCACGGCAGTTTCGGGGGAGCAGCAGACCAGAGGGTACGGAGTGGGGAGCTGCGGGCCTTCAGAGAGCTGGGGAATGGGTGTGATGGCCCAGAAAGGGAACACAGGACAAGCAGAGGAGAGGGAAAAGGACATGGCACTGCCTGGGTAGACGTGGTCATTCACTGTTTGAGGATAACGTCTGTGACACTCCAACTTAGTCAAGCAAACTCAAAAGAAGCAGCTGTCACCAAGCAGACCTCAGGGCCATCCAAGCCTCTGTTTTCCTTGTTCCCAGAGCAACCGTAACTCTTACTTTTTGTCTGAGACTCAGTAGCTAACTAGGCGCGAGGCACTGTGGAATGTGGGGCATCACCTGGACAAAAGGTGCAGGAGGGGACCACAACAAGCTGATCTTTATACCCAGACAGCAACCTATAACCCTGCACCCACAGAGCAGGCACCAGCTGGACCTGCTGAGGATGAAGGAACTTTGGCCTCTCCTAAGGGAGAAGCCCAGAGAGGTCAGGGACATTCCCTACGCCACACAGCTGATCACAGGCAGACCCTGGGTTCTGGGCTTAGACCATGCGTCCCCAGCCCTAGGGGAACAATACACAGCAGCTGTGGCTCTAAGATAAGAGCCATTTAAGTTCAGGACACTTAAAAAGGAAAAAGAAAGAGCCAAGGAGTGGGGATTATTTGTTCCTGTAGCCTGTCCTGTAGCCTCGCGTGCTTCCCGTTGGAGGCGTTCCTGAGCCATCGCCCTGCCCCGCCGCACGCGCGCACGCATGTGCGCGCACACACACACACACACACACACACACACACACATCAAAGGCCCTGGGGTCACAATCCTGGGGGGCGGGGGTGTTGGCAGGAACAGCAGCAGGCAAGCCACAGGGCCTGTGCACGGCCACCGCTCTGGGCCCCTCCCAGGGCAGGGAGGAGAGGGAGGAGGAAGCCACAGCAAGTGACTTCTCCAAGCTGTCTGGTTCTTCACCCAAAGCTTCTCTCCTCGTTTCCCTGAGGACACCAGCTCCTGCCCACGCCAAAACAACGCTATCAGGTTCCTATTAAACTGCCATCTGCCTCCCCCTTTCCCAGGACAAGGCAGCCCAGCAGCAGCTTGTGAGCTAATACCCTGCGTTGTCACAGGTGGGGACAAAGAAGGCATGTTTCCTCCCGGCTCTTTGTTGTGGTCTTCTGCCATGACTTAGTTTCCCCTGCTCCGACCAGTCACAGTTCTCAACTAAGGCAGAGAAGTCGAGGGGAACAAGCTGTGAGGCGGAGGCTGGGCCCTTCCACCTGGCTCTGCTGCTCACCCAGCGAGGACCTGAGATTCCTAATCCTTCAGGTTTGCTTCCATCATCCATTGAAGAGAAAAAGTAGCAACAGTGATCATCAACCTGACTTTCTCAACAGAGACGATCCAATGAGTTAAAATACCCCAGAGGACCTTCCAAGTGCTCAAATGCTCTACTAATGGAGCGATTTCATTATGAAAGATTTATATCTCATATTGTTTTAACTCCCCAAATAAAATCCAGCAAGTGCAATAGGGAAAAGATGAATAAATTAGTGGACATTATTTTGACAGAATACTATACAGCTGTAAAAAAAGAAACAAAAGAACTTTGGAGATGCAGGGGAATGACAAATGGCTTCCCTTCACCCTTCTAGGTTTGCTGGGCTATAAATTCAATTGACATAAGACAGATTAAAAGGAGAAAACCCATATTTAATTACACACACACATGGGAGTCCCACAGAATATGAGACTCGAAGAAGGGACAGATGATTGAAGCTTATATAGTATCCTGAGCTTCCGGAGCTGGAGGCATCTGGGGGTGGGGTGGGGTGGAGACACAAGTTATGGAAAGGTGTGGGAAAATGCACCATAAATAAGGTTGTCATTTTGTGCACTATAGTTATCAATCATTTATTGTCTATTTCAAAATAGCTAGAAGATTTGGAATGTTCTCAACACACAAAAATGATCAATGTTTGAAGTGATGGATGGCCCAATTACTGATTTGATCATTATACATCATATGCATGTATCAAAATAGCATAAGCACCCAACCCCTATTATTATGTATCAATTTAAAGATAAATAAAATAATTAAAAGTCTCTCAAGTAAATAAAGTTGTCTTGGAGCAGCCTTCCTCCTGATAAGATACTTTTACCTAGATAGATTTCCTTTATAGATGTAAATTTCTTTTACAGAAGGACAGCTTTTCTGAGCTACTCCTGTGTCTGCAGTTTCTCAGAATAACCAGCTCAAAATATACCAAAGAAGTATATTTTGGGGTGGCATATTCTGGTCTCCTATCATTATATTTTGGAGTGATGTGCTTTAAGCCCCAACAGAACTAGATTTGGCAATAGCTAATGAGGTTGAAGATATACATATCCTACACCTCAGCACTTGCCCTCCCCAATATGATCTCTCAAGAAATTCTCTCACATATGCACAGAAGAAGGCAGATTGAAGACTGTTCATAGCTGCATTGATTGAAATAGCAAGGAGGGGGTGGGGGAGACGAATATCTAAATGCACACCAGCAGAAGAAAGGATAATTAATTATATCATATTATTGCAGAATACTTTTTGTTAAGGGAAATAAATGAACCTGCAATACCCATTTCATTTTGAATGAATCCCACAAATATAATGTTGAGTGAAAAAAGCGAGTTGCAGAAAACACATACAGGATTATACCATTTATATAAAATTTGGAAATATGCAAAGACTTTCCAATGGTTATAGATATCAACTTCAATAGTGCAATAAATAAATAAATGCAGGGGGGATGAGAAACACCAAATTCAAGGTGACAGTTGCCTCAGGTGTGGGGGGAATGTGATCAGTGTATTGATAATATTTCATTATTAGGCTGGGTGATGAGTACCTGAGTACTCATTGTATGGTATTTTACAGCTCTCTGAAGTATATTATAATCGTTTTAATGAGGGAGAACTATTATGTACAGACCTTAGAAAGATGGCTCCACTATAGTGTTAAATAAAACAAATACATAGGTAGCACATGATTCTATTTTCATTGAAGAACTATACATGTGCATATGTGTATGTGTGTATGAGTGGTAAACATAAGGAAAAAGCCTGAAGGATATAAGCCAAGCTTGTATTAATACTGTATCCATAATGAATACCTCTGGGAGATGACATTATAGGGAACAGTTTCATTTCTTACTTTATATATTTCTGCATTATTAGTATTTATTATAAACATCATGTATTAGCTCTATAAATAAATAATAATACATACATCAATTCAAAGAATACATGAACTACAGCCTTCTTATCCATTCTTTCAACAAATGTTTATTTAGCACCTACTATATAATTCAGGGACTGGGATGGATTCTGGGGATACCATGATTAACAAAAATTAATACTTCCTTGGTTCTCATGAAGCTTATATTCCAGTGGGAGAGTCAGACATTAATCAAATAATTACACAATTAAATGCAACATGGCACTTGTGCTAAATGCTAGACAAGTGGTGCATAGGATCAGATGTGTTCATGGAGGTCAGACAGGCCATCTCATCAGAGCTGTGATCTTTGAAGAGGAGCAGGAGTTAACTGGGAGAAGTCATCCTTCCAAACATTCTAGCACAAAGAAGAGCATATGCAAAGGCCCTGTGGCAGACGAAAGCACAGTGGAATGAAGGACTGGCTTATGGACTGGTGACACCATTGCTAAGAGAGGAAATTCTGTAAGAGAAGCAAGTTTGGCTAGGGCACAGCAGGAAGGTTTTTGATGGATGAGCTTCTGGAAAAATGTCATATGATTCAAAATGCTCCTAGCAACCCCGAGAAGCTGCAAATCCAGACAATTACTGGACAGACAATAAGAAAAGTTATTAATACTTATTGAACACTTACTTTGTGCCAGGCACTGTTTGAAATGCTGACACATAGTAATTAATTAAATCCTTACAACCACCTTATGAAGTAAGTACTATCATTATGCCCATTTTACAGATAAGAAAGCTGAGGAACAAGTGGAAAAAGTGAGAACATAGAAGTTTTAGTCATATGGCATCTAGATATGCAAAGCCAAAAGAACCTTTAATTATTAAATAGAAAAAAAAGAATATGTATGTGTATATTTTATTTTACAAAAATTTTGAAATTCAATGAACTGGAGAAAATAACTGTGTGCTCCTAGAATGCGGAGACCACATCTGTACAGCCAACCACTGGCGCGATGCCTGGCACCTAGTGAGACCTTCATAAGTATTTGCCACATTAAGCTGTTAGTTGGATATAACAGATAATAATATGAAGAATTCTCTACTTGATACATGTACATAACTTCCAGTCCCCAGATAGAAAAATGTTAGCTATTTATCAATAATTTAAGTTGTAAGTCAACTATCATTAAGCAATAGCAATCTTCCCCCATGAGGAGTTTAAGAAATGATCCCAAACAAACAAAACAAAACAAAAATCCCGCCAGGGTTTGCAGGAGTCATCCATGAACACTCACCCTGCTTTCAGACAAGTGCCTCCGCAACATATGAACTCACATTTATGAAGTGACACATCCATAAATTGGTAAGCATGACGCCGGCTGACTTTGAACTCTGAACAGGTTTTGAACATTTTATGCACATGTAATGTGCACCTTTAAAAGTAAGCTAGAAATGGGCATATGGTACCACACCTCGAATTTTGCCAAAGATGATGCTCCATCCAAAAAGCCTGGCTTTAATTGCCACGTAGATTACGAATGGAGATGGATAGTCTCGTGGCAAGAAGCACGGCTTCCTCTGCCAACCCTTAAATCATTAAACCTGCTCAGCACAAAGCCCGAGAGTCAATCCCACCGAAACCGACGTGCCCGGACGGGTCTGCCGCCCGCCACGCCAGCCTGGGGCTTTGCTGTGCTCAGTCAGCTGCTTCTCTCCCAAAGGGCCGCAGCTCCCGCTTTGTATTCCTGTCCCAGCTGCTTCCAAAGGCCACGGCTGTGCCAATCAGACGGCAAAAATAGAAGAGAGAGGGAAATAACCATACACATTAACAACCGCTCCATTTTCAAAACACAAAGCAGGGATTTGGGTCTATTCAGCTTCATGAAAGGACTTTCATAAGACACAAATTGAGGCTGTGGTTTCTATGGCTGCCTGGTACAAATATCTTGTGGCTGAGTTTTTCTCCAAATAGGAATCATTCTGAAAAGCTTTCTAAATTTGTCTGTGTGGTATCTGTTCTGTAGGATACCACATGAGAAAAATGGGGACAGATCTCGAATTACACACAGTCTAAATATAAACAATAATATTGCTCAAATATACAACTTAAAAAGTTGAGTTTGAGCACTGGGAAGAAAACTGGTGTGAGCGAGGAGATCTGAGTTGGAATCCTCACTGTATTATCTGCAAGGTCAAGTTGCTTTGCTCGTTCCCCAAATGGGCTGGCCAGCTCGTGGTGATCAGTGAGATAATGAGGCTGCATGTGCCCAGCGCAGGGTCTGTGCCCAACAGTGCATTCCTCTTTTTAGTGCAGGCAATGCATGTACTAAATTTCAGCTATTCCATTCAGTACTACTAATCAGTTCTAGGCAACCCTATGACAACACGCATTTCAACATAAATGCATTTGGATTCACTGGTCTGCAGCAGAAACCTAAGAAGTTTCTATATGTGGGAAACCAAACGCCTATAGACCAAGACATGAACTTACCTGTTCGGCAAAGTCATACTTGAAGATTAAGAACAGGGACCTCTTGACTCATGGCTCCCTAACCATTACAGAAGCTTTCAACACGCACAAAGGCAAGAGCCCATAGGAAGAGGTTACTTATGGGAGGAGGAGAGAGACAAAATGGGAAAATTGGAATTACTATTAATATGATTAA